CAATATTTTGTGGGACTCACACTTTTTTTGAAGCAAAAAAAATAAAAAAATTACGGCACGCAAAATAAATCTCTATAACATTATGCAATCACTTTTCCTACAATATAACTCTTATAAAATCCTTATAAATTAAAGATAAATAAGAAGTATGTTACACTGAAAAAATTTAGTGTCATGCAACCACCACAAACAATACAAATTTTTTGAAGAGAGTGCATCTTTCACTTTCTTTATTATTATCTAGTTTGTCGTTTTCTTTGTAGAAAAAGAAAATTATTCCTTAACAGGGCAAAACCAAAGCCCTATAAATTATTAGTTGTTCTTTAATAATGCGTTTTAGTTGATGAATATTGACCCTTGATTGAAGCATTAATATTTTTTTAATTGCATTGAATATATTCGTATTAATAGTTTTTTAAGTTGATAACTTCTACAATTTTTAACGTAATCATAGACCTACTCAAGTCACAACTGTCAAGCGCTATTGTTGTTTTGCACTGTCCCTCCCTACAGCTATTATTTGCCCAATATTCGGGAAAAAAAATTAATTTATTGCAAATTAAATACAAAATTATAAATTTATTGTTATTTTCAAATTATTAGTGTATTAAAGGATGTTTATGCTCTGATTGGACGTGAGTAGTCACACCCAAAATAGGCGTCATACCCCATAAACACGCCTGAAAAAGGCATCACACCAATCACGCCTAAATTAGGTGAAATTGTACCTGTGGATTTAACTGAAGACTTGATGAAGGACTTGATGGTGGAGGAATCCTAAAATGAACTTGATTCATAAACTAGTGTTTAATGGAATTTGTGTTTAATTTAGAATATTTATTGTATAATTTTATTTTGATGAGTTTGTACTTTGCACTAGCCATGAGATATTTAGATTGATGATGGTAGGATGAAATTATGAGGTTGATGATATTTGTTATATTCTCATTTGGATTATTTAAGGTTGTTGATTTTTTTTAGGTAGATGACAATTCATGAAATAGAACCCATCATGTTTTTCCTTTTTGTTTATTTGAATATTTTTATTTGATTTTGGTTTTTTCTGTATGTTATAATTATTATTTACTTTAGGTGCATATTTGTGTCACAGTAAATAGATAATAAGAGAATATGGTTATCTAGAAATTTGTTGACTTAATTTGCATAGAAGGAACAAAAAATCTCAAAAAACATAAGCTAGTCTATTTTTTATTTTTTTGTTGTTTTTAATTTATTTATTTTTCAAAAAATCTCAATTTTTTTAAAATTTTCAAATTTTGTAGGCCGTGTCTGGGTTGGTGTTTTTTGACCCGTTTACAAAACGTATCGTGTACGGTTCATGTCGAGTTGTGTACGTGTCGAATGCATGTCGTGTCGTGTCGAGTTGACCTGTATTGCCACCCTATTATTTATCCTTCCTTTAACCAAGCCCCATTGCAACCTGAATAAAGACTTCTTGATCTTTTATGGATGTTAATTAACTGTAGAGAGTGCGAATATGACCAAGCTTATGGAAATATTGATATAGAGAAAGTTTGAGAGAAACACTTACCCTTAGACAGATGAGTAATGAGTGACTTGATATATCTAGTGAGGGGTGTGTTAAAATTCAGTTATTATACTCGATTGATAGACTCATGCTTTGATTTTATAACTTGCTTGCTTTCAATACTGCTTAGTTAAATGTTTGTTCTTAAACTTTGTTATCTTCTATAAGTCTAATCATTTTTAGATTGATGTACAATTTAAGTCTTACATTAAGCATGCTTTTTACACTATTGAATTATTCCATGCTTTCAATTTAATTCATTGCTGAGGACAATAATGAGTAAATCTGGAATTGTTTGATAAGTGTAAAAGACGCTATATTTTAATGTCAAATATAGTTCAAATAATAATTAATATGATTAAAAATATAGGGTTAATTAATAAAATCTTAAAGAATATTAAAATGCCAACAACAAGATAATATTCAAATCCTTTTTATTGTTTCAGGTTGTTTCATACTAGAAAGAACAAACCACTAATCTGATGAGGAAAAGGAAATTTGGATCTGTTTTGAAATCAAAAAAATAAAAATAAAGAATTAATAAAAATTAATTCTTGCTTGCTCTGCAGCTCGCTTCAGCGAGCAAAGCATGCGAAAAGTTATAATTGGCTGGCTAAGCAGCTCTCTTCAGCGAGGAAATAAAATTTGCTCGCTGAGCTGCCCCAAAATTAAAGGCCCAATTTTAAGCCTTTGAATAGAACGCGACGAAGCCTTCAAAAAAAAGATTCAAAAGACGAAAGAAAGAAGAACTCAGAGACAAAGGCAGAAGGTAGAAGCGAAGGAGAAAGTCTAGAGCGTAATTGCAGAGGAGAAGAAGGAGATCAAAGTTTCATAATTGATTATCTTTAATCAAGTTTTATCATAAACTATCTTTATTTTTCATCATCTTTTTATTCTGATTTTGTGAGTATGTTATGCTAAATTCATTTATATAGTTAGGATTATGGATCCGATGTGAATCCTAGTTGTAGTTTAATTTGATTTCTATAATAAATTGTTTTAGTTATTTGTGTTTTACCTTGCATGAATTTCTATATCCTTATATGAATTGATCACTCTTATAGGGATTTGAGGGTTAAGGCTCACAATAGACATATAGGAGTTTTAATCCTGATGGGGGTAAAATATCAATTCTTGCATGATCTAGACATAGGCCTGCTTGAGTTGTAGACTTCATAATTCATCGTGTCTAATGCTTATTTTAAGAGGAATCACTAATTCATTAGGATTCTAATTATTAGAATAAATGGTTAAAGTCACTAAGACATAGGATTTACCAACTATTTTTAAAAGATAAATTGTCTGAAATATCTGAGATAATTTAATGTTGAAATTAAATTAAACAATTCTAGGTAGATCTGAGGTGAAATAATTCCTAACTGCAGTTTCTTTGATATTCTAAATTTAATTCTCAATTCTTGCGTTCTTGAATATTCTTGGATGTTCTTGATTTTTACTGCAATAAATTTTAATTACTTTTATTTTAATTTAAAATCTATTTTTCAAACTAATTCGAGTTTTTCAAATTAAGGGGACTAGTTATAATAATACTTGGTACATTAATCCTCGTGGGACGATACTCTACTCACATTTTTATTACTTGAAACGATTGGTATACTTGCCAAAATCGTAACATCTAACTATTGCAATGCGTTAAAATATTTTATATTAAGTGATTATTTAAAAACATTCTTTTCTAAGACAATGCTTTTCTTATTTATCCCAAACATTCTGATTAATGCAATTCAATTTACCCAATTCAAGGAGATAATAACATTATTATAAAATAAAATTAAGTGATTAAATTTTTTTATCGAAGAAAAATATACTTTCTATAGAGAATAATTATAATGAAATTAATACTTTGAGTAATGAACAATGCTTTTTAAATATGTTGTTGTACTTTCTATAGACAATGCTTTTCTAAATATTTGATTGATACATGTAATACTTTGAGTAATGAACTCAAATTATAAAAACCTTTAAATAAGTGCATAATATTTTAAATTATATATATATATATATATAGTCTTTGATTTTTATTAGACTTTGTTACGCAATTTAATCTTAACTAAAGAAAACAGAAGAGAATAAAAAAGCTAAATTTGATTTTTCTTTTATTATGATTGTTTTTCAATTTCAAGTATTCTAACGAATATATGCTGACACCACCAAGCATTAAAGAATTAATAACTTATCCATATGTCCACATGATAAACCTATCAAACAACTCAATTTAGCAAACCAAGATAGCTTTTTCTCTTTTCTATTTAGATCATTATCATGTTCAATATTATACCGGTATATACTCAGTCCTTGCATGATACCAATGTATCCGCTGAGGTTAGGTTAAATGCCTCATTCATCAGCAAGATTTTTGAATTCAACGAAGCATGAGAAATAAAAAATAGGAAAAATAAAACAGCGATTATTGGAACACATGGTTTTATGAAGAATTTTTTTTTTTTTTTGATGAAAACCAATGATTAAAACTTAAGGCAGGTGTGAGAATTAATGAAAAGTTAAAAAAAAAAAAAAAAAGGCAGATGAAAAGAAGGGAAAAAATGTTTAGTTAATGAAGAACAAATTAACATGCAACTAATCAACTAACATGCATCCTGACTCGCGAAACTTGAGCCACTCTGGTATCTATCCGACAAGTTAAATGTAATTAATTTAACATATTTTTATAAAACTAGTCAGGAACAACTTAAAACTTCTTGTTTAAGGTAAAATATGTAAAGAATCAATTTCAATTTAACAGCTTAAGTATCTTCACTTATTAATTTGAGCTTTCGAGGTAAGCTGATTATTTAAAAAGAACATGCTGCACCAATGCATCCCAAGCTGACGTAGGGTCAGAAGCCTGCACAAAGAAAATGTATAGAATGGGTTGTTTTGTAGTTATTCAACAACTGCAGATAATCACGGCCATAACAATTGTTTTCATTCTAGTATTTATCAAGCACATATAGAAAGGCCATTCCCTCAACAAGCTAATTTAGCTCCACAAATTCCATGAATTTTGAAAGGATTTGATTGGACTCTCCATGAAACATGCTCTCAAAGCAAAAGATTATCAGTACCATTGAGAAGCAAATGTAATGGGGCAAGTGGGGCCTTATTCTTTGCCCAAATATGAAACTCACCAGCAAATGTTAAGATGAGGTTGTGGCCATCCAGAGCCAGGGTAGGCTTATGATCATGGTCAACTTGCTTAAAACTGAGGCTTGGACTTCATTGGGTTTCTCCAATGAGATGAAGAATCCCAGCTCTAAGTAAAGTACAGCAAGGCCTACATTGTAGACTGGAAAGGGGAATATAGCCTTTAAAGATTCAACTGCTTTACCTTCCAAATCATGAAGTGTGGTGGATAGAATTTGCTTTTAGTTGGAGTGAAGCACATATTAATTTCACTTTCAATTATCCTTCACCCTCATATATATGAACCAACAATCAAATAAGAGCAAAATACTTTTGTTTACAAACTTTCACCTTTATAGTGTTTATCTGCCTATTTTAAGCTCACTAAGTAAATGCACACATAACATCTTTTATTTGTCTATTTTATACCTGTCACACTAAGGAACAAGATCTCCTCCGCCACTCAATGACCTTGGAAAACATAAAAAGTCTTGTATAAATGCATTGAGGTTCATATTGGAGGATCCACCTTCTGCAACTGCTCGGTCACATATGCCCTTGAGTTCTAGTGCCCTGTCTCTGATTTCTTTACCATTCCCACTTCCAAGATCCATAAACTTACTAACCACTTCCAATATTTCTGCTTGTGTAATCAATTCTTCACTTCCCAACTTTGATCTTTTTAACTCCCACCCATTCTTCCATTCCTCCAAAATTTTCCTCCTATTTGGGACTTGGTCAAAGAAAAGAGGGAATGTCAGCATTGGAATACCAGCAAAAACAGCTTCCGTAGTGGAATTCCACCCACAATGACTCCAAAACCCACCTACAGAAGGATGGGACAAAACCTTCAATTGGTCACACCAAGGCACCACTAAACCCCTATCCCCACATTTCTCTTTCAACCAAGAAGCTTCTCCACGAGCCACCCAAAAGTAACCAACACCACTTGTGTTTAAAGCTGAAACAATTTCATTCATTTGGGCACTTGACACAGAAAGGAAACTGCCAAAAGAAATGTACAATACTGACCGGGCTGGCTGAGAATCTAGCCAATTTAAGTAGTCAAGGTTGTCATCATTGTTGACTTCTGAATGACCAGTTTCAGGTTTGAAGTAAGGAAAGGAAATGGGATAGATTGGGAAAGGTAACACATTTTTCAAGGAATAAATTGCTTCAACTTCCAGTTCTTGGATTGTACTCAATATAAGACAATCTGCTTTGGGCACAGTTGAAATACATTTCATCTCAGGTTGCAAAAACCTCATGTCATTTTCATGAAGCACAGTTCTTAGATCAGATAATTGAGCTGAAGAAATTCCTGGTATATGCTCTTCATCATCATCTGCATCATTAAAAGTCACAATGTTCAAACATCAACAAATAGGCACTGCGTTTACAATAATTTTACTAAATAGTAAACCATGAATTTTAACTTTTAACAATTCATATATTTTTTAATCATAACTAAATTTCATATGAAAAAAATATATATAATATCAGGATTATTTTCCACCAATATAAATTACATTTTCAATTTTAATTCTTAATTCTATTTATATCTAACAGTTATGAATTGTATTTCTCTATATAATAGAAACATAATTATTTTACCGATATACTCTTGATCTTGAACCTATCGGCCTCATGTGACTAATAATTAAATCCAACTCAGTAAGTAGATAATTTCTAATTGAACTAAATAATTACATTAAATTTTCTTTGATCCATTTAACTATTAATTACTTAAACATATACTAAGAAAATGTTGTAATTTTACCTAGAAGATGAACCTTGAAACCCCGGTTACGGGCTAAGCTTTCCAGTTGATGTAACATGTAGTAAAAGGAAGCTGACATAGTCCAAAGCAGCGCCACCGGAATATTTCTCCGGCGTGCAACGGCGACCGGGAACTGCAACTCGACGTCGCCGATGATGGCGGTGACGGGAGGCTGAAGCTGATCAAGGAGGTTGTCAAAGGGAGCTTCGATATTGGTTATGGCGGCTTGGAAGAAGGCAGGGAAGTCGGCGGCTATCTGAGTGCGGTGGGGGACGACGTTTGGGATGGTGGCGAAGCGAATGTTATCCGGCTTAGGCTCGGAGCCGATGTAGCCGAGCCACTCTTGGGTAACAACGATGGTGATAAGAAGAGCACCATCATCATGACCTTGTGATGTTGAAGAAGCTGCAATTAGTTTGCAGAGCCTCAACATGGGGGTCACGTGCCCTCGACCTGGGTAAGGCATGGCCACCACGTGACCACTAAACCTCATAGTTGTTGGAACTTCCATCAATGACTCGTAAGTTATGCTTAGCGTTGATTAGATCTTTGATCTGTGAAAGGGGAAGAAGGCAAAGGCTCTATGTGAAACTTTTTATATTCAGAAGTTCTTGGCATATTTTAATTATCTCACAAATAAAATATTAGTTGTTCTTTGATAATGTGTTTCAATTAATGAATATTGACTCTAACATTGATTGAAGCATTAAATTCTTTGTTTTGAATTGCATTTAATTCGCCTGACTTTTCATTAAAATAAGTCCACTAGAAGATTTCAAGGATACCTATTAATAGTTTTTTTTAAGGTGAGATAATACTCAAGTCTCAACTCTCAAGTGCTATTTTTGTTTTGCAGTGTCCCTCCCTCCAGCTACTATTTGCCCATTTTCCTTCTTAGTGAACGAAGCAATTATATTATTTGCACCTATCAAGCACCGACATTTCAAAAATTCTGACGTGTCGTGTCCGATATTTTTTGACACTTTAATGTTTCCCGATACTCCAACATGCATTGTAGAAACTCAAAAAAAGGTTCAAAGGTTGCGTTGTGTTACGTTTTTAGTTTCAATTAATAGATTCGTTAGATTACGATTATTCTTTTATTAAATCTAATATAAATATTTGGAATATCTTATGTTTCTTTGCAAATTTGATGGGTATTATAAGTTAAACTTCATTTTTTTGTTAAATTATTGAGTATTAAATATAATATACATTACATAAATTAAAAATAATATTTACTATCAAAACGTGTACTAACGTGTCAAAATATAATATTTTTTAAAATTAACGTGTCGAAGTGTCGTATCGTATCATGTCTCGTGTCACGTGTTAGTATCGGTAATACATAGATTTGCACCATTGACATAGCTGTGAAATTGTCACGGACACGGCTAACATGACAATGCAAAAAAGTCAATATCTTCGCTTGTCCTATGCTCAGATTCTTATAAATTTTTGACCGGTACATAATTACACTTTACATTTTTCCTTATCTAAATTTAAGACTAAATGAAGTTATTTTTATGTGGCTTTTTACCCCTCTAAGTCTGTTTGTGTAACTATTCATCAGTTTATTTCTTTTGACAAATAATTTACTAATCAAATGCGAAAAGATATATATGTGGCAGTGCATGATTAAGTCACCCATCATCCTCTGTTATGTGTTGCACTTTGCAAGATGCATACGGGGGAATGTGCAATTTGAACATGCTGATCTTGTAGAGTGTAACATGTGACAAGGACAAGCTAGATTTTGCACAAAACGCGCAGCTTGACAAGCAGATGTTGGTTTTTACTCAAATTGCATATGGAATTATGGGTGACTTGAACACATACTAAGATCGGGTCGGTTGGCCCAGGAATCGGTCTATTTTGATGGTCCGATTTTAGTATTGGACCGTTTAAGCATTTGATCCGGTATCAACCTAGTGACCCGGTCTTAATCGGTTTTATCTTTAAATCGGTTTTTTAAAATAAGTTATTATATAATTAAGTTAATAGAATTATTTCAAAAATTGCATCTAATGAAAATCGAACCCCATACATTGAGGATAGACAATATAGTAATTACCACTAAACTACATCAGATTATTGTTTGAATTGCACCATTTAAAATATTTATTATATAATTAAGTATAAAATATAAATTTATATACATACTCTGTTCATGCGGTTCAATCAGTGATGCACTAGTTGAATCATTGACCCAATAATCCGATATCTCGACCGGGTCAATGACCGGTCCGATTCTAATAACATTAACATCTTTTCGCATTAAATTGATAAATCATTTATCAACGAGAATTAAACCAATGAATAGTTACATATTTTACTTTACATGAGTATAAAAAACCTATTTTACTTGGATCTCTCATTATGACATTCCAACTGACACTTCCCCTCGTGGCTCATGAGGAGTGTTATAATATTATTATTAAAAAAACAAACCAACAAAACGCACCGCAGAAGGCACTTGCATTTCACGACAGACACATACTTAGCTACAACCATCAGCAAATTAATCCTGCTAAGAAAATGTTTGTTTTGGTTGGAGGAAAAATTTATAGGGGTTTGATTTTCTCATGTTAAATGAGAATTCAATTCTTATGTTGTAGAGATAAAAAGTATGTGGGACCCAGGTGTTAGAAAAAATTATATGTAGGACCCATGTCAGCACGGAAATCGAAGGATGTGTAGAAAAATTTGAATTCTTATGTTAAATGAGAATTATAAAACCCAAATTTATATTACTATTATGAAAAGACAATGATAGTTTTGGTTGGAATGAGCATGCTAAAGATGCAAAAATACCTGCTAAAAAAACTAAGGGTTTGTTTTTTCTAAAGTTACTTTAGATAACTTTATCTAATGTTCATCGAAACGATGTCGTTTTGGAACGGAAATCATGGTGTTTCTGTAATTTTAATTTATTTTAGGGTTATAATAGTCTTTATCATTCTAATTTTTTAATTTTTAAACCTTAAAACGACGTCGTTTCGATGAACATTAGACAAAATTGTCTAAAGTAACATCAGAAACTTTTTTCCCAAAATTTAATAAAATAACAAAATTATTTTAGATTAAAAAAATTTTGCTATAATTTTTGTAAAAAAATTTGTGAAATGTATTATAATTTTTTTGCCTCCGGTGATAGTGATTTAATACACCCTCTGTTTCAATGAAGAGCTAGCTTTATGACCCTACTCAAAAGATAAAGTAGTTGGAAGAGATTGTGTGAGAATACCTCCAAGCTATCAACCAAAATAATTTTTTTTTTTGTTTTGCATTAGGGGTAAGTTGGATGACTAGCAAAAATCTAAAATAAAAATAAATTAAAAAATTGTTTTAAAATAACACAATATGTTTTTAGAATTTTAATCGAAAGACGAAAACAACATATATAGAGAAGCCTTAGAGCTCTCAAAGCGCTACACTAACACCAAGGTATTGTTTTTTTTTTTTTTTAGTAATATTAAAATAATAAAATTAATAATAAAAAAAATTACTGGAACATTTTTAATCAAATGATAGAGAATGGCGGAATTCTCAACTAGGGCCGGCAAAATGGGCTGAGCCCGCCGGGCTGGCCCGCCCCGCCTGCCAAATGGGGTGGGCTGGGTTGAGTCTTTCAACCCACCAGCCCGTCCCGCCAAACCCGCCAGCCCATATGGGTCAGCCCGCCACGGGGCGGGCTAGCCCGCCAAGTCATTTTTTTTTTTTTTTTTTTTAGGTTACCCAATTGTTATGTAGCTCCGTATTTTAGATTTCTCTGCTTGCCAGTGGCTTTTTTGAATTGTTGTGGACTGCTCATACAACACTTTGTTACTTGTTTTGTTATTCTATTTTATCCTGATATGATTTTATTTTTTTATTATTATTTTTGGATTGAAAGATGCATATTTATATGCAGATTATTAAACACTGATCTTCTTGGTTTCATAAGCACATTAGGATTTTATACAGATTTTTGTATGCTTTTATGCAGATTTTTTTATGTGATTTTATGCAGAATTTAATTTTTTGTATTTTATTTTTATATTTTTTTTATTTTAGGCGGGCTGGCCCGTAGCCCGCCAGCCCACTCATAAAACGGGCCGGTTTACTCAATTCAACCCATTTTGTCAAAACGGGTCGGGGCGGGCCAGCTCATTTTGGGCGGGCTAGTGGCGGGCCGGGACGGGCTGGCCCATATTGCCAGCCCTATTCTCAACATTCCTTGCCAATATAACAAGGTTTTTGTGGATAAAGTGTATTTATATATTGATATGTTTTCATTTTCAAAACTATATATAACTAGAAAAGTAATACATTAAAGGGAAAAATGTTTATCTTTTTAAATGACACAATTTATATCATTTCACTCTCACAAAGAGGTAGGATCCACACCTTTATTTTTTTTTGTCAACTCTCTCCTTCTTTAACTATCTCTTTCTCTCTCTTAAAATGTCACACTTTTACATCTTTTAAAATGACACACTTTACCCTACATGAAATCATTCAAATTCATATTTATGATAAATTATTTATTACTGTGCACAAGTAACAAGAAGCAATCATTTTCTTTGGATCTTATTATATTGATGGACAACCACATTTAATAATATTAATGATTTTTATTTTTTTAGATTTTAGAGGGACGGGGCCACCCTAGCCTCGTGTAGGTCCGCCTATGCCCCCACATATAATTACTTTTACATAATACACACCTTAATTTGAGTATAGAGAGATCAACCAAAAAAGAGCAAAAGAACATAAACGAAAAAGAAGGAGAACGAAAAACTCAATGACAAAGAGAGATAGAGAACCTTGACGGGAATTACCTTTTTTTCCTTGTTTTATTCAACAAGATTCTCTCAGTGACAGAGAGATAAAGAACCTCGAAATGCCAAACCAAAGCTTGTTGAGGACCCCCTGCTATGCCTTCTTTCATCTCCAATGAGAATGGGTTATTAATTTCAAAGAATGAGATAGCAGGGTCAACAGAGTAGAGGAGAATGACATTATCGTGTTGCTGAGTATCTCAGCACTATAATATCACAGAGTCACGTTCCGTAAATACAAATGCCAAGTTGTCAGGTTCAGGTATGCATCGATCATCCTATCCTCCACACTCATTTATACATCGAGTAAACCGTCAGAAAAAAAAAATGGACATTTACTGCTTTTGACCCTTCCAATGCATTGCAATACTTTCTCATAATTAATGGAATCTGATATACACAATTCAGCTCACATCTCATGTGACGTTCCACCTCACGTTTCACATGCAGCTCCATATACAACTTCAGCTCTTTTAGCCTCATCAATATACATGCATCAAACTAATCATAACAGAATAGTAGAACCGCTTTCTGTTATTGTAATTAGTTAGTCTGTTATCTATATGGTTAGAGTTAGTTTTTATCTGGTTAGAGTTAGTTTTCTTTTTGAGCTTCGAGAGCTGCGTACTCTAGCACCTATATATATACATAGGTGATGTATTATTACTCACTTTTTTGGATCTTAAGCAATATACAGAATTTCCAGTTATGAAAGCTTTTAGTTTTTGTTATGTTATCAGAGCTTGAAGCTCTGGTACTTTTGCCTCCATAGTTCTTTTTCTTTTTATCAGCAACAATGGCAGA